AAGAATATATTGAATTGACTGCAACGGCAATAATCCTAAAAAAATTCATAATATAGGTTACTATAATTTTAAATCAAAAAAAGACTTCAAAGATATTTACCATAAATCAAATATGGTTGATGAAGTAATCCAACTGGCCGATAAACCACCATCATTTTCGAAATAATACCAATTTTGTAATGCGGAAAACAATATTACAGGAAAAGCGGAACAATACTTGAGGGCATTAAATAAATGTTCTCGGTTTGCTTTTTTAGATTCTTTGGAATATAGGTACTCTACAATACACTGTTTTAATCGAATAAAGTACGGAAAGCTTTTATAATAGCATTTGGCCAGGGACGCTGAATATCAGATATAGGTTTTAATAGATCATAAAACAACATACCGTAAAACTAAATTTAAAGCTTACCTTGTGAATAAAGGAGCGATCACATTAGCATAACATTTATCTCTAGAGCTTTCTTTGATTCCATAAATAAATAACATACACATAGTCACATACAAATCACCAAATACTTTTGCATAACTTGTCATTATATCAGCCAATATTTTGTCACAAAGATATACTTCTGAATCGAGCCCAGAAAGCGCTACCTTTTGTAAACATCTATTAATAAAATAATAATAGAATCGATTAGTTTGACGGATTTGTTACATCAGATGTAGTCGCACAGTTACCTAATAAACCGCATTCTTTCATTTTTATATAAAATGTCGAGCGGACATAGCATAACGAGAAAGATGAATAAATAACAAAATAATATTATCGAAGTCCATTCATTTTGCCAATACGCAAATAGACTTAATGAAACCCATATAGTCATAAATAGGGCTAACTTATAAACTGGTTTATAATGAGGATATTTTTTTTTATCACCGGTTAAGAGAGCATGTGCGTCTATAGATGCCCATGAAAGTATTTGTAGATTAGTACCCCAAGCCCAAAGTCCGGCGGTAAGAATTATGAGAACTCTATAAGGTAAGGGGAAATTATCCGAAAAGGACATCCTGATTTTTTTTTTAATGATGCTTTCTTATAACGTATTGCGGATTTAAAAGTTTTTAAACAGAGTTTAAATTTGGCCATGTACTTGTCATACATAAAACATTAATACTTTTTATTGGTTTTTAGTTTTACAAATTTGGTCAATCGCGTGTCTGACAAATTTAGAGGGTGCTGAAGCCCAATAAACACGGGATTACCCGATATTACTGTATTATTCTTATTAAGTTAGGAATCTGATTGGCCCAAGCGGTCTCGTGATGTACCCGACTTTAACCCTGGGAATCGTGTATCAAGAACATACAGTATATAACGATTATATAATTTATGTAAAAATCTTTATAGCAATACACATGATAATTGGCCAATACAATCAAGTTTATAATTAAAATAACCTTTATTTTCTTTGAAGAGCTTATCCGTTTTCTCTCAAAACAATTACTTTTCATCATACGTAGCATCCTGTGCTTGAAACAGATTAGATAATTAGTTACTAATTACTGCTTATTTTGTGTATCCATATATGGAAACTACGCTAATAAAGTTTCATCCCATTGATTGACAAAAAAAAGCGATTGCTAAAAAAGACCCTTAATCAAAAGGTCACACTAAATTTTCTTCATCTTAGATTTGCTTGATTTAGGATTAGTAACCTCTTTAACTAGAGCTTGGATATACGGTGTATGAAAACTTATAGATATTGGAGAAAGCATTACGTATATGGATCTTGAGATAGA